AGTAATCCAGATGGGAGATGACAAGTGCCTGGATTAGGACCTGTGCCGCTTTCTGTGTAAGGTAGGGTCGTACTCTGCGAATGTTGTAGAGCATGAACCTACAGGATCGAGTCACCGCTTTAATGTTAGCGGAGAACAACAGGGTGTTGTCCAGGGTCACGCCAAGGTTCTTTGCACTCTGGGAGGAGGACACAATGGAGTTGTCAACCGTGATGGCAAGATCATGGAGCGGGCAGTCCTTCCCAGGGAGGAAGAGCAGCTCAGTCTTGCCGAGGTTCAGCTTGAGGTGGTGATCCGACATCCACACTGATATGTCTGCCAGACATGCGATTCGCCACCTGGTTATCAGAAGGGGGAAAGGAGAAAATGAATTGTGTCGTCTGCATAGCAATGATAGGAGAGACCATGTGAGGATATGACAGAGCCAAGTGACTTGGTGTATAGAGAGAATAGGAGGGGGCCTAGAACTGAGCCCTGGGGGACACCAGTGGTGAGGAGACAGATTTTCGCCACGCCACCTGGTAGGAGCGACCTGTCAGGTAGGACGCAATCCAAGAGTGAGCAGCGCCGGAGATGCCCAACTCGGAGAGGGGGATCTGATGGTTCACAGTATCAAAGGCAGCAGATAGGTCTAGAAGGATAAGAGCAGAGGAGAGAGTTAGCTTTAGCAGTGCGGAGAGCCTCCGTGACACAGAAAAGAGCAGTCTCAGTTGAATGACCAGTCTTGAAACCTGACTGGTTTGGATCAAGAAGGTCATTCTGAGAGAGATGGCAGGAGAGTTGGCTAGAGACGGTACGCTCAAGAGTTGGAGAGAGAAGAAAGGAGGGATACTGGTCTGTAGTTGTTGACATCGGAGGGATTGAGTGTAGGTTTTTTGAGGAGGGGTGCAACTCTCGCTCTCTTGAAGATGGAAGGGACATGGCCAGCGGTCAAGGATGAGTTGATGAGTGAGTTGAGGTAAGGGAGAAGGTCTCCGGAAATGGTCTGGAGAAGGGAGGGGATAGGGTCAAGAGGGCAGGTTGTTGGGCGGCCGGCCGTCACAATTCGCAAGATTTCATCTGGAGAGAGAAGGGAGAAAGAAGTCAAAGCATAGGGTAGGGCAGTGTGAGCAGCACCAGCAGTGTCATTTGACTTAATAAATGAGGATTGGATATTTTCAAAATGGTTGACGAAGTCATCCACAGAGAGGGAGGGAGAGGAGGATTCAGCAGGGAGGAGAAGGTGGCAAAGAGCTTCCTAGGGTTAGAGGCAGAGGCTTGAAATTTAGAGTGGTAGAAAGTGGCTTTAGCAGCGGAAACAGGAAGAGAATGTAGAGAGGAGGGAGTGAAAAGATGACAGGTCCGCAGGGAGTCTAGTTTTCCTCCATTTCCGCTCGGCTGCCTGGAGCCCTGTTCTGTGAGCTCGCAATGAGTCGTCAAGCCACGGAGCAGGAGGGGAGGACCGAGCCGGCCAGGAGGATAGGGGACATAGAGTCAAAAGATGCAGAAAGAGAGGAGAGGAGGCAGAATCAGGAGATCGGAGGGCGAAGGATTTAGCAGAGGGAAGATGATAGGATGGAAGAGGAGAGAGAGAAGGTTGCGACGGCACATTACCATCTGAGTAGGGGCAGAGTGAGTAGTGTTGGAGGAGAGCGAGAGAGAAAACGGATACAAAGTAGTGGTCAGAGACTTGGAGGGGAGTTGCAGTGAGATTAGTAGAATCTCTAATCTAGTAAAGATGAGGTCAGGCGTATTGCCTGCCTCGTGAGTAGGGGGGGACGGTGAGAGGGTGAAGTCAAAAGAGGAAAGGAGTGGAAAGAAGGAGGCAGAGAGAAATGAGTCAAAGTCAGACGTAGGGAGGTTAAAGTCACCCAGAACTGTGAGGTGTGAGCCATCCTCAGGAAAGGAACTTATCAAGGCGGCAAGCTCATTGATGAACTCTCCAAGGGAACCTGGAGGGCGATAAATGATAAGGATGTTAATCTTGAATGGGCTAGTTACTGTGACAGCATGGAATTCAAATGAGGAGATAGACAGATGGGTCAGGGGGAAAGAGAGAATGTCCATTTGGGAGAGATGAGGATTCCTGTGCCACCGCCGCGCTGACCAGATGCTCTCGGGGTATGCGAGAACACATGATCAGACGAGGAAAGAGCAGTAGGAGTAGCAGTGTTTTCTGTGGTAATCCATGTCTTCGTCAGCGCCAAGAAGTTGAGGGACTGGAGGGTAGCATAGGCTGAGATGAACTCTGCCTTGTTGGCCGCAGAACGGCAGTTCCAGAGGCTGCCGGAGACCTGGAGTGGGTCGTGCCTGCAGGGACCACCAGATTAGAGTGGCAGCAGCCATGCGGTGTGAAGCGTTTGTATGGCCTGTGCAGAGAGGAGAGAACAGGGATAGACATACACATAGTTGACAGGCTACAGAAAAAGGCTACAATAATGCAAAGGAGATCGGAATGAAATGAACTAAACATCTGGGAAAGCGAGAGAGCGGGGCCTCCCTCACGTTTCACTGAAACACTCAAATATAACTCTCCCAACTTCCACTTCAGAAATTATAATTGTTGTAAACTACAGCGGTTCAATGTTTTCTAGGAATAGACTAACTTAGTTTATTCAGCTAGTTAACTTGGTACAGTATTCTTCTGTGAAAACCGCCCAGGGCACCGTATCCTAGGGCACCATAGCTAACTAGCATGCTAGCTTCCAATAACACGGTTTAGTACCAATACTCGGTTAAAACAAACTACCAATAGTGTGTTAACACACTAAACAGATCATTCGTGTCCTTGTCTAATGTTGTGTAAAGTTTTGACAGTTTGAGTGAGTACGTCGTCAACTTATTCAGCCAGTTAGGTTAGCTAGAGTAGTTAGCATATTAGCTAGCCATTGCTCTCTGTCAACGAACCAACCCCTCCTCCCACGATATGAATCAGACAGAGAGAGCCAAGCTAACGTTAACTAGTCACCCATTACTTGAATTCCTTTTGAACGACTCTGGTTACCAGTGTGTAAAAATAAAATTAAAAGTAGGTTATAACTTACCCTTAGTAGCTACTGTTAGTTAAGTGTAAAGCTAGCTACTGAATACTACATACAACCGAGCTACTCACTCTCACAATGAACAATCACTCACAAAGGACAAGGGGGCAGAGGGAACACTCATACACAGACTAATGAGGGAATGAGTACCAGGTGTGTGTGATTGACAAGACAAGACAAGACAAGACAAATGGAGTGATGATAAATGGAGCGGTAGTGGCTAGTAAGCTGGTGACGACGAACGCCGAAACCTGCCCGAGCAAGGAGGAGGGGCAGCCTCGGCCGAATTCGTGACATTTGTTCAGTGCATTTTAGGATATTGTGTATACCTGGAAATAATCAGAATTCATTTAAACATTTTTGAAAACATAGCTTGCCCCCAGGTATGGGGTAAGTTGAGCATAAGGAGAGAGTAAGTTGAGCTTGCCTGGCTACCCAGATTCCTTGCTTCGGCCAAACGCTACCCCACGCCCACAGATGTTAGTTTCTTCTCTGCAATGAGTCTGGATCTGAGTAAACCAATGGTTTGGGCCAGAGTGGGAACACGCATGGGTAATTTGGCGGTTCAAAAATTAATCATTGGCATTGATACTTTGATTGCTTAGAGATTATCCAATCACTGATGACTTTTTTTTACAACGCCCCTCGTGACCACAAACTAGTTCTATGATGGCACTCTCAGACTTCAGTATGGAGCAAACGACAGAGCAGCGGAATAATTTACTGGGAGTTGTCAGGCTAAAGTTAAGCTGCCTTGGGATAAGTAGGTGATGGTGCTGGTAGGTCAAAGTTGAATTCATGGAATGGGGGTGTGGTATATTGTATATCATAAATGTATGCCTACATTGAGATATAGAGCTCTCTGTTCAATTTCACTTACCCTTCCATTTCTTGACCAGTTGTCTGGGACAGGGATGTTGTTTTGATGTGCCAATTCGTAAGTTCTCTGCATTTGAGGCTACGCAAGATTCTTCATATGTTCAGCAAGCTCAGACTCCATGTCATCAGAATACCTCTACCTCAGTGTACCTCTGCTACTCTATCATAGCCTCTCTTTCACACAGGCACATTAGTTCTTTTTTTGTCAGTGTCATTCAGTCTATTTTTTTTCATCCCTTTCTGCTGCTCAAATGGATTTCTTCCCTTCTCTCACTTCCTTGTCCACTCTCAAGAAGCTCAACCCCTGCTTGTTTTACGTTAATATACAAGGGCCATGATGTAACAGAAAAAGTACTATCTTGAGTTCATATGCATAAAACTAAAAATACTATGCATAAAACTGACGAAATGTAATCATAATTTGTATGGGGTATGGTGGCCATTGGCTCAACCCCAAGGCAAACATTTTGACTATATTGGCACACACAGCCACAAGGATGCACTTTCATGCTAGGTTTAGGACCTCATATTGTAGCTTATAGAGACCCAAACTGATGTATAAAACAATCTTAAAACGAATGTATCTATATACTTTGGTTTAGATACAAGCATCATGAAACCTATAATAATACATTAATTTGACTTTGTGCAAAAAGATGTTGGGTACCTAACTTGCTTAACACTTTTTCCATGTGGTTTCTTCCTTCAGACTCCATGACCTCTTCCTAAATATTTGGTCACATGATAACATTTTGTGTATGGTTTCCTAGAAACTAGGGGAAGATCTCAATTGCACACTCCTCGCATCCGCTCTCCTCGCCTCCTTCTCAAAACCCATTGGATGAGAGCGCCAGAGGTCCCTCCCCTCTGACCACCTTATCCAATGGGTTTTGAGAAGGAGACGAGGCGAGAGCATGCGAGGAGTATGAAATTGAAATCTTCCCAAGGGGTGGCTCAACTAACCCTTTGAAACAACTTACCCCACTCTCCCCTACTGTTAGTAAGTGTGCAGGCAGGCAGTGCTGTAAAGTGGAAAGGGGAAGGCTGCAGAAACGTGTGGGCTGGGTTAGACTGCTAGCCACTTAAAAAGGAGCCGGCTGTGGCGGCTCAGCATTTGAGGAACCGACAGAGGCAGTAGGAGAAGAGAAGCAGTAGGGAGACTTGGATGTGACAAACACAGGGAAGGTGTTACTCTACTCTCTCAGCAACAAGTGTATTTTTAGCCTCCTGCTCTGACCTTCTTCTCCACTTTTCTCTAGGGCCGGAATGGCCAGAATGCTTTGGGGAGCGGTGGTGGTGTTACTGCCACTCTTGGGATTCTGTCAATTTGTCCTGCCACCCGAGTGGGTGCCAGGGACCTTCCCTGCCACAGAGGCCGGGGCCGAAGACTTTGTCACTGCCTACAATACCACCGCTGAGCTGGTTACCTACCAAAACCAAGAGGCCAGCTGGACATACCAGACCAACATTACGGCCCACAACTCCAACAAAAAGGTAGGACCCCCTCCCCCACTCAGCACACAGAGGTGTTTGAATGAAAGTTTGACAATTGTTTAATTACTTAGTTGTTGGCCTCTTCAGTTCAATGCTAACCACAATGTACAAGTTAGTTGTGGGTAAATGTGAGAGAGCTAACTGTGCTTCCTCACTAGTCCCATTTCACAGTATACATGTTGATATAATTGTTTGGTCACCTCACCAAACATTCATTTTCGTTGAGTGTGTTAGCTATGTAATCTAAACTAAATCATTCTTGAACATTGAAGATAAATAACAGTAGGGGAGAGTGGGATAAGTTGAGCAATTTTTTTGCATTCAGCATCGCTTAGTCAAGGGAAATATTATTATTTCTAACTAAGTTATCTACATATTTCAGGATGTTTTGTATCCCTGTAAATAATCAGAATTAATGTGAACATTAGTTTTGAAAACATAGCTTGTCCAAAAAGTGGTCCATTGGGACAATTTTCCCTGGGTTTGGGGTAAATTGAGCCGCGGGACTACAAATGTCTGTACTGAAATAAAAACTTTTTTAACTACCTTTTTAAAACCTTGTCCATCTTTATTTCCCAAACACAATCATAATCACATTTATCTTTTAATCATCTTTTAAGACAGGCCGAACACCAAACACTTTGTACTTTTTTAAACACTTTTAACGTAGGCCCTGTTACCTCATATCCCAGTAATAACGCCTTGCATTACGCCTGGGAAGAAAACACTTCAATTTCCTCAACTTGCAATTTGCTCAACTTACCATTTGTTCAACTTACCCCATGGCTCAACCCTACTTGTCACACCCTGGCTCTGGGGACTCTATATGTTGAGCCAGGGTGTGTAGATTCTATGTGTTTTGTTCTATGTTCACAGTCTAGCTTTGTATTTCTATGTTGGCCAGAGTGGTTCCCAATCAGAGGCAACGAGTGTCAGCTGTTGCTGGTTGTCTCTGATTGGGAGCCATATTTAGACAGGCTGTGTTCCCACAGGTGTTGTGGGATCTTGTTCCGTGTTGGTTGTGTTTAACCTAGGACGTCACGTTATTGTTTTGTTCGTGTTTATCACTTTGGTTAATAAAGTATGTTTGCCTTCAACGCTGCGCCTTGGTCTACTCCGTTCAACGATCGTGACACTACTCAAAAAATCCTATAGGATTCCAATTAAAAAAATCCTATAGAAAATCCTAACAGAATTCTATTGGATTATAATGATTGGAATCCTATAAAATGCAATGCTATAGGATAAAATCCCATAGGAGTCCAATAGGACTGGGTCCAAAATCTGATAGGATTTCTCTATTGGTCATGCTGCAAATGAACTTGCAACCTTGAATCACTCCAGGATTGTGATGGCGTGTTGAAGAGGGTGAGAACATCAGGGAATTATCACTGGTGTGAGTAGGCAAAGATATGGATATTGTGCTCTGGAGACACGGGAGAGAGGCTGTTCTTCAGTTTACTGGTCTTTAATCTCGATTACAGTTTAGCATAAATGTTCAGGTTTCTGTGCGATATTTAGCTGTGAGGTTGTCCAATAAAGCTGTATTTATCTAATTGTAGTGTCCATACACTGTGGTCTGAAATAAGAATGAATAGAATAATATCAATACAATGGCTTGATGGGTTATACTAAGTAGGCAGGGCGAATGAACGAGCTGCTGCACAGTCACTATGGGGGCTCTTTCTAGAGCGGCCGGTTAAATTGTGCATAACAGTATGTTTTAACTCTGTAAATGGTTAAACTAGTGAGAAATATGTGTACACAATCAGCCTAAATTGAAATGATGATTTATTTGGACTGTGCGTGTTACTACGTTACACAACCTCATGTTTTGACCACATCGAATTGAGGATAATTGCACATCCTTTTTACCTCTGGTTAGTGATGTTAGTATAAACGTTTATAGTGATCACAATGACGCAAAATCGATTGCTTAAAATAGATCAATATCATTGGTTTTGTACCGCTGATTTTTGTCATACATGCTGGTGGTCTTAGGACGTAGTAGAATGCTGGTTGTCTTCAGCATGTTGTCCTCTAACGAGTGATACACAATATTTCCAGTTCCATGTGGTTTTTGAATTGTGTTAGTTTCAAGAGCGCATACAACCTGATTTCCCCCCTAACCAATATGAGTGATTAATTAACACTTGTCAAAACAACAGGATTTTTTGGTGCACATGCAGATTAAGGTGCTTGTAAAAAATAAAAATAAATGACATGATTACTATTGTGGCGCATGTACAGTACCAGTCAAAAGTTTGGACACACCTACTCATTCAAGGGTTTTTCTTTATTTTTACTATTTTCTACATAGTAGAATAACAGTGAAGACATCGGAACTATGAAATAGCACACATCGAATCATGTAGTAACCAAAAAAGTATTAAACAAATCAAAATATATTTTATATTTGAGATTCTTCAAAATAGCCACCCTTTGCCTTGATGACAGCTTTGCACACTCTTGGCATTCTCTCAACCAGCTTCATGAGGTAGTCACCTGGAATGCATTTCAATTAACAGGTGTACTTTGTTAAAAGTTAATTTGTGGAATTTCTTGTGTGTGTGAATGTGAAGAACTTTGAAAGTTTCTTCAAGTGCAATCGCAAAAACCATCAAGCGCTATGATGAAACTGGCTCTCATGAGGACCGCCACAGGAAAGGAAGACCCAGAGTTACCTCTGCTGCAGAGGATGAGTTCATTAGAGTTACCAGCTTCAGAAATTGCAGCCCAAATAAATGCTTCACAGAGTTCAAGTAAAAGACACATCTCAACATCAACTGTTCAGAGGAGACTGTGAATCATGCTTTCATGGTCGAATTGCGGCAAAGAAACCACTACTAAAGGACACCAATAAGAAGAAGAGACTTTCTTGGGCCAAGAAACACGAGCAATGGACATTAGACCGTTGGAAATCTGTCCTTTGGTCTGAGTCCAAATTTGAAATGTTTGGTTCCAACTGCCATGTCTTTGTGATGCGGAATAGGTGAACGGATGATCTCTGTATGTGTGGTTCCCACCGTGAAGCACGAGGAGGAGGTGTGGGGGTGCTTTGCTGGTGACACTGTCTGTGATTTATTTAGAATTGAAGGCACACTTAACCAGCATGGCTACCACAGCATTCTGCAGCGATACGCCATCCCATCTGGTTTGGGCTTAGTGGGACTATCATTTGTTTTTCAAAAGGACAATGATCCAAAACACACCTCCAGGCTGTGTAAGGGCTATTTGACCAAGAAGGCGATTGATGGAGTGCTGCATTAGATGACCTGGCCCCAAAATCACCCGACCTCAACCCAATTGAGATGGTTTGGGATGAGTTGGACCGCAGAGTGAAGGAAAAGGAGCCAACAAGTGCTCAGCATATGTGGAAACTCCTTCAAGACTGTTGGAAAAGATTTCCTCATGAAGCTGGTTGAGAGAATGCCAAGAGTGTGCATTTTTCGTGCGTCATGTCCAAATCATCCGAAAGTATCTCAAATGTATTGTGAAGGTCACCAATGTCACTTATAGATGATTTGAACATTATGCGCGAAAAATGCCAATATCAGTCCCATGGCTTGAATGGGATTTGTGCCACAGTTCCAGCCATATCCAGGGAAACTAAACCAATGGATGGATTGCTGTATAACATTGTACATAGACTGCTTACAGGGTAAGGAAACCAATGTGTCATTTTGTAATTTGGGTGAACTATTCCTTTAAAATAAAAACCATGCACTGGATATTCTACTTCCTGCCTCTCCTTGCTCACAAATACCAGTCAGACAGCCTGAACCATCCAGGGCAAGTAAGGGGCCTACCATCCACCCTTACAGTAACACTTTACTGTATCCTCCCTTATGTATGCATTCATAAAGGCTTTGTGAATGTTGCATAGCTGGTATAAAGGCTTTATGGGGGTACTGTAAAATGTTACTGAGTTGTGTTTGCCAGAGCCGGACTGGTTCCTTGTATGACAACAGCACCCATAGAGGGATGTTTGTTGGGTTGAGCCCCGCACGGCTTTACAACCAACACTATTCATCCTCATCCAAAATGATATGCTCAGTTCCTCCCATTTCTGCCAACTCGGCTTGTGTGTTTTCTGAAATCATCAAAAGGACCCAAACACATGTGGTTAGAGCGTCTCCGAGTCTTGAATAAAGCCTGAGGGGGGTGGGGTGTGTGTGGAGAGGAAGAGAATGGGGGTAGTTATTTTGTTAAGTTCAAAAGCCTGATTTATTTTCCAAGCTTTGTACTGGTACACTAGCAAAATGCAATTTCACAGGTTGATGCACTTGACATTTGATAACATTAATTTCCTAAGATAAACAATAAAAGACTGTAGTGCGGTTTAAATGGGACTTTTCAGAGTGGAGTAATGAGACATTTGCATGCTACTGCCACCAGTTTATCTTTTACTGCTCCTCCTGTCTCACCATATGCTAGCAGGAGTACATTTGCATAACCGTATGGGCTGGGGAAGTTTGCTAGAGAAACTGCAGAGGTGTGAGGCAGCTCTGAGAGATAAAAAACACACACACACCAGGCATCGAGCGTCTTTGCCTCAGAGAGTTATTCTCCCTAGCCAGACTACTGTCTCAACAGGGTTTTCCTCCACTCGCCAGGCTTAGAATGGAACGATGGCTCCACCACATGTTAGCCACAACAGGTGTAACCTCTCCGGAACCCAGCCTGTGTCACTGGGGTCAACTTACACAATGCCAGCTGCGTTCCTCTATCCAACAGTGAGCCGAGGATGTGAGGTGAAAGAAAAGCAAGCTCTGGCCCGACCGGTAGGTTGCCAGTTATGAGCGCTATTGTTCCCTACACATCAAAGATGGGATCAAAGGGAATCAGGGGCTTTGAGTTCTATAAGATCTGGCAGGCAGAGGGGAGCCTGCCTGGTCTCTCTCCGAGTCTCCTCCCCACAGGCCCTGCCACTGAATTGGCATGACCGTCACATTGACTGGCGGGGATGTACTGAAGAGTTAACCCCAACATTCCAGTCAACTTGGGCTGGGATTACCACGTCACTGAGTTAATCTTTGTCTCCGTCCTTGTCTCAGAAATGAGCTTTGTCATAGTGGATTAGACTGATGTGCAGAATCTGAGGCCATATGTTCTCTTTATACTGTTCCATGGTAAAGCATGGTAGGCAATTGAATTAGGCTAGATGTATTCCCCCTTGCACCTCTATGTAGACGCACGCATGCACACACACAGCGCACACACACCTATGATAACCTTGCAGTCTCAGAACACATTATTTCATCTCAGCGCAAATGAGCCCAGGCCGAGGAGAGCAAAGGATCAAACAGCAGAAAATGTGTTCGGAGGGTTAATATCAATTAGGCTCTAAAAATGAAACACTCAAAGAGCACCGCTGGTTGTGGGCAACCATCAGTTACTTTGAAACGCCGATAGAATATCAACTACCCAAAAAGTACATGAAATGTGTGCACCCAGGGCTGTCAAAGCAGGTCCAAATCCATGGTGTGCTGCTTTCAACAAGGCTTCTTTAACTTTCATAGAGCACGTTTTGAATGAAGCATTCGTTCTCAGAAAATCTGAAATCTTACGAAGCGATGATGCAGATTTTCTGAGAAAAATGAATACTTCATTTAGCCAAACACTGAGAGTGCCACTTGAAATTAACTGTGGTTCCTAGTTTTTCTGTATTTCCGATGTAAAATTGGATGGGAACATTTGACTGAATCGTGAAAGGAAATCTTTCCCTCCCCATTCCCCTCTTCACAAATTAACTTTATATTGACGAGAGGCTTAACAAGAGTGAACCATTGGGCCCTTTGTGCAACAACACTACCCTGCAAACAATAATAAGTAGGTAGGATGTCCACGGGACGTCACAAAATGGGTCTGTCTAGTTCCCGGTTGGTCCCGGGGACGTCCCTGAGGACGTTCTTGGGACGTTGTGTCATGGTCTCCTGGAGGTTTTGTGTAGTTCCCGGTTTGTCCTGGGGACGTCCCCAAGGACGTTTTAAGGACGATCTTGCCACCATGTCTGTACCAATGACTGATTTCACCTGTAGGCCAATTCTTACACTTTGCACTTCAATGTCAATCTTAGCTCTGTTAAAAATACACTGAACACAAACTATTATATTTACATAGTAATTCAGGGCTAACATTAAAACAGAATAATATTCCCCACCAAGTATAGTAAAACTCAAATTGCTGAAATAAGTAAATGAGAGAATAGTCAGATTAACTGATCATTTAAATAGCAGTGCAGATGTCATTATTTTGCAGAGATGCATTATAGGTAATGAATGTGTAGGGGACTTTGTGGCGCAGCAGAAAGATCAACATACCCTAAATCATATTGGGGTACATAGTCAGTACTAAGTGATCATTTCAAATGTAATCATATTGTCATTTGATTCAATATCTTTACACTATTTTAGTTGAACAGCGTACTACTTACCTTAACCCTGATACCATTTCATTATTTTACTTATGATGGTTTGGGACACCTGGGACAATCAGGGGAGCTTCCTGGGCACAATAACACAACGTAACAAGAACGTCCTAAAAACATCCTTGGGGACGTCCCAGGGACCAACCGGGAACTAGACAAAACCTCCAGGGGACCATGATACAATGTCCCAAGAACGTCCTAAAAACGTCTTTGGGGATGTCCCCGGGACAAACCGGGAACTAGAAAAAGGTCCCCCAGAGAACATTCCCAACTTCACGCGACGTCCTAAGGACTAGTAAAATGTAAACATCCTGAGAACATCCTATAAAGGTCCTGACATGGTCCTCTATGACGTCCTTGGAACTTACAGGGAACCAGACAAAGGTCCCCCAGATAATGTTCCCTTGGGACCATTACGCAATATTCTTAGAATGTTCTCAGAACGTCAGAGGGATAACGTCGCGCCGAAACCCTTAAGGGACATGGTGGAAACATTGTCGAATGGCCTCAGGACGTCCCCTGTTTGCTGGGTATACTATACAGTCAGGGCCTTCGAATTAGAGTCAAGCTTTCATAAGCGAGTGAACACATTCAACGGGCTTGAGAGAGAGAGAGGAGGGCAGTCAACAGCTTTTCACCTTATCTTTATTATCCTATAGAAAAATAGAAATGTAATTGGGTTGTGGGGCAGCAAAACAGAGGTTCAAAGAGAGAGGCGAGGAGGGGGGAGGGGGAGAAAGGTCAGAGTTAATGCCTCAACACTGTTACCAGTTTTCCGTTCAGCCCACTGTTAATCAGTGGTGGTAGAGACACATTAGATAAGCTGAACCTCAATGAAAACATTATAGCAACAGAAGCTACTTTCCTGCCAGCCCTGACAGGATGTCTATGTCCTGGGATGTGACTGCAGACAGCCCCAGTGTACTCAGTGTCCTGACAGGGACTCTTTGCTCTGTGGTTAAGATAACAACATATAACACAACTACTGGACTGGAGTTTCTTCAACCCCTAACACATTGGAGGTAGACGGAGTGCACACAAAGGGCCAGTTTACTAAGGCCAGTCTACCCAGTTTAGGAACAAACACCTCAGGAGGGAAAGGAGTTGCTTTGTGTTTTCCCCAAACGTGATACTAGAGTAAACAGAAACCCCAAACTACTGTAGCTGGTGGCATATTCACACTAAGGGAAACATTGTAATGCATCCGTGTTAGCATGTGTGACGGTGTGCCATATTGAGGTTAGCATACACCCTGTGTTGCTGGTGAGGAATTCACTATACTGTATAAACACCCTAAACTGATAACAAAAACAACCCTATCTAATCTGTTTGTGACAGTCTAGTTTTTGGCATTATTGGTAAAACACATCAACTGTCAGAAGCAGGAAGCTATGGTGAACTGAGGCGGCATGGCTAGAGCCTCTCAACCCTGTGATGCATCTGCAATGCGTCAAAGAACTGAAAGGATAACATGTTATGTACTATGTGTGATGTTTTGAGTGGCCTTGCCTTCCAGTGTCCCTCATGTATCATCGTTATAATAAAGTAGTAAGAGCAAGAGAACAATATAATGTCTGTATACCATCCTTGAACTGTGAGTGATGGTGCTTTCCCAGTTCAGTAGCCGTCTCCACTTCTTATGCATTAGGCACTCTGTTTTTTTGATCCGGCGGCCAGGGTTCTCTAGCTTTGTACTCCCACTCAACCACTGTGCTTTAACTGTTGCCACAAAGAGGGCCTTCTGGCCCCACAGCTAATTGTCATAATCCCCATTAACATTCAATATGCTGTGGGCCTTTTGCTTGTGATTGGTGCAATCAGTCTAACAACCCTAGACCAGAAGTAGGGAATAAGTGGCCATTATATAAAAAGGGCCATTATATAAAAGTGGCCATTATATAAAAAGGGCGACTACAGTTCATGGATTCCTTGTTTCTGGCAAGTAGTTTTGTTAGGGTTATTAATAGTTTTCTGAACAAAATATATCAATGTCCAAAATGATTGGATGTCAATGGTACCTGTGTGGAATATTTTCACCTTGGACTGTGACCACTAGTTACGTGTGCTACTTTGCCCAAGATACGGGATGCTGTGAAGCGAGGGCTGTTGGGCAGCTACACTATATAACCTCATCACTTGTCTGTGTCTACAGGTGGAATCTGATGGGATGAAGCAGGCCTTCACAGAAGCCTGGGGGAAGAAGGCCAAAGATAACTTCACTCCTACTCTGGTGGCCACCTTCAACACTACTCTGCAGAGGCGTATCAAGAAGATCAACATCCTGGGAGCGGCTAACCTACCTGCAGGAGAAAGAAATGAGGTCAGTCTCATATTGTCTACATCTTATCGGAGGAGTGTTATCACAAGCTTTGAGTCAGACTCAGAATCAGATGTGGTGTATAATGTGATCCTGACATGTCAGAATATCTGTAGAAGATGTTATAAGACATAATACGTTTAGTTCAGCTGTTGAAGGACGGCATCAGCAAGGTCTGAATGAAGTCACAGAGTAATTGTGTATTTTCACAATCTCTTTATTTCCCCAGTACAACGTAATACTAAGCAAGATGTCTGAAATATACTCTACCACCAAAGTGTGTCCAAAGACGAATGAATGCTGGTCTATCGAGCCAGGTGAGTGGCTGTCTTCATGTAATTACAGTTAAAGACATGCTCCGGTACTTTGGTGACTAAGAAAGTATTTTTTTAAACCTCCTGCTTTGGGCTGGATGTGTCAATGTGTAGTTCATACATGTATAATCTATGAGCAGAATTATTGTCTTACCTCAATTAGCCACGAAATCACTAGTTTGAAAGTGAGCTTCAGCCCCTCTCGTGTGTGTGTGTGTGTGTGTGTGTGTGTGTGTGTGTGTGTGTGTGTGTGTGGCGGTCAGAACAACAAAAGTACCAGAGACAAAAAGTAAAACATTTATTTAAAAATAGTAGGGGAACATCTTAACAAGGAGTAACAAAGAGGGGTATAGTTGTCCAAAAAAGAAAGACGAGAAGTTAGAAAAACCAACAGAATGGGGGCAATTACTTTGAAGAGGTCTCTGGGGGACGTGGTTCAATTTCAGCTCTTTAGGAACGTTGAAACGTCCTGCTACTGGTCATCAGACTACAGTGCAGAGCACGTCGACTTCATCAGTCATTCCCAATTACCTAAGTGTTGGTTTAAACCCTGGCCAGTGCTTTGTGAGCTGTGCCCGCCCAAAAACTATCATGATTGCCAAAACACATTATAGATGTGAGAGAAGTTTGTGTGAAGGCATTTCCATGCAAAATTCAGTAATGCACCCACAAAATCACTTTTGCACTTACTGTAAGTCATTTACCAATGTTATGCAGTGTAATGGACGGAAATCAAACATCAACAAAAACACTCTTACAGACCTGCTACACTGCATACATGTTGATGCCCTAATCTACATTTCAATCTATATCATGGAAATGGTTTCTGCTAATGTGTTTACACTCCAAAATGAGAGTCCACTTCCGCCCCAGATGATTCCTAATTTCACAATCTACTAAAGTAAACATTGGGTGGTCCAGGGTTACTCTAAAGAATCTGACCGGTGTTGCCCATCACAGAACAATGCTTTGGGTTGTATTATAATAACAAACAGGGACCCCAGCCATTGGATCATCGCTTTTTCCCCCACCAAACTCACTTTGTTCAGTGGCCTTCAACTTTCCTCACCTTCACTTCCTATGCCCAACCTGTAAAATACAGTGCCTTCAGAAAGTATTCACACCCTTGACTTCTTCCACATTTTGTTGTGTTACAAAGTGGGATTAAAATGATTTAATTGTAATTTTTGGTCAACGATCTACAACAAATATTTTAATGTCAAAGTGGAAGAAAAAATCTAACATTTATAACAAATAAAACACTATCTTGATTAGATAAGTATTCACCCCCCTGAGACAATACATGTTAGAAACACCTTTGGCAGCGATTACAGCTGTGAGTCTTTTTGGATAAGTCTCTAAGAGCTTTGCACATCTGGATTGTACAATATTTGCCCATTTTATTAATTTTACAATTCTTCAAGCTCTTTGAAGTTTGTTGTTGATCATTGCTAGAAAGACATTTTCAACCCTTGCCATAGATTTTTAAGCCAATTTTAAGTCAAAACTGTAACTTGGCTACTCAAACATTCAATGTCGTCTTGGTAAGCAACACCAGTGTAGATTTGGCCTTGTGTTTTAGGTTATTGTCCTGCTGAAAAGTGAATTAGTCTCCCAGTGTCTGTTGGAAAGGAGACTGAAACCAAGTTTTCCTTTACGATTTTGCCTGTGCTTAGCTGTATTCCGTTTATTTTTTTCCTAAAAATCTCCCTAGTGGATTTGCCCCAAACATAATGCTTTGAATTCAGGTCAAAAAGTTAATTTCTTTGCCACATCTTTTGCAGTATTACTTAAGTGCCTTGTTGCAAATCGGATGCATGTTTTGGAATATTTTTATTCTATACAGGCTTCCTTCTTTTCACTCTGTCCTTTATGTTAGTATTGTGGAGTAACTACAATGTTGTTGATCCATCCTCATATCAGAACCGTTAAACTCTTTAACTGCTTTAAAATCACCAATGGCCTCATGGTGAAATCCTTGAGCAGTTTCCTTCCTTTCCGGCAACTGAGCTCAAAGGGATATTCAATGTCTCCTTTAAAAAAAAAAAAGGTCAACACACCTACCAATCGGTGCCCTTCTTTGCAAGACATTGAAAAGCCTCCATGGTCTGTGCTTGAATCTGTGCTTGAAATTCACTACTCGACTGAGGGACCTTACAGATAATTGTATGTGTGGGGTACAGAGATGGGTGGGGTAGTCATTCAAAAATGATGTTAACCACTATTATTGAATGAGTCCATGCAACTTATTATGTGAATTGTTAAGCAAATGTTTACTCCTGAACAAAGGGGTTGAATACTTATTAAACATTTTTGAAATACTTATGAATACTTATTGAAAAATGTCTACATTGACATTATGGGGTTTTGGGTGTAGAATGTAAATCAGTGACACAAAATCTCAATTGAATCCATTTTAACTTCAGGCTGTAACACAGCAAAATGTGGAAAGAGTAAAGGTGTGTGAATACTTTCCGAAGCCATATGTGTTGTTTTTAGGCCAGTCTTCCGCTGTTGCATCATCATAACTCAAGGCTAATCTCTTAGAAGATGTATCTGTAATGCACCTCTCACATTGAGAGGAGATCATGAAGTCATCTAAACACTTAAATGCCTAATTGTTTAGGAAAGTTAAAACTATTTTTCTCTTTTCGTTGGCGCTGTTTGGAAATCTAGTAGTCCCCTGTGTGCTGTAGCATTTTCTGTATTCCGTAACTGAGGGTGTCTTTGACTTTGGCTCCACAGAGCTGACAGAGATCATGGCCAACTCACGGAGCTACAAGACACTGCTGTATGCTTGGGAGGGTTGGCACAATGCATCGGGTGTGTCACTCAAGGCAGAGTATCCAAAGTTTGTGGAGCTTAGCAACAAGGCCTATAAAACTGATGGTAAGAATGTGACGTTGACCTTACATATGTGTCTCACTGTGAATGTCATTATTTCTAACATACAGTATTTCAGAGGTATTGTAAGTTATGGCCATAGCTGTAGTGAAAGAGACAGGAGAGGTAGATGAGGTGAAATGTCATTGTTGATAAACATTATGGTTGTATCCTCTCTAGGTTTCGATGACACGGGAGCATACTGGCGTTCGTGGTACGAGTCAAAGACTTTTGAGAATGACCTGGAGGCTATTTACAAACAGATGCAGCCGCTCTACCAGAATCTTCACGCCTTTGTGCGTCGCAAGCTCTACGTCCACTACGGCCCAAAATACATCAATCTTAAAGGACCTATCCCTGCTCACCTGCTAGGTGAGTTTACCTTTAAATGTCTGTGTTCCAGTATTTAAAAAATAATGTATGCACTCACTAACTGTAAGTCGCTCTGGATAAGAGCGTCTGCTAAATGACTAAAATGTAATGTAATGTTAACTTATAGCCAATGCAAAATGTCCAGTCACTGATTTATCAGCCATTTTTCAAACTTTAACTCAGTCCATCGCTGCTTAGCAATAGCTTTAGCTAGGGTTGATTTTAAACCTAACCTTAACCACACTGCTAGTGCTAACCCTAACCTAAAATGAAGACAAAAAAGCTATTTCTTATCATGAATTTTTACGACATAGACAATTTTTACTTTGCAGCTGGCCCATCTAGTGGAAATCTCTCAGTTCTGCCTCCAGGGCAAGATTCATGACAATAAATGTAAACATGCGTCAAGAAACCCGAGGTGCTAGCTATAACGCATTAGCGGTATTTGCTCAGTGTCTGAATAGGAAGGCTCAACCAGTAAATGTATCAAGCCTCTGGCTAATGCTAAGTGCCTGTGCTTCATTTCCTCAGGAAACATGTGGTCGCAAACCTGGAACAACATCTATGGCATGATGATCCCCTTCCCCGGCAAACCCAATGCAGACGTGACGGATGAAATGGTTGCCAAAGTAAGCTGGTGAAATTTGAGATGTTGTTATTACTGTAGATCAGTTTACTTGTAGAACAGTGAGAAATAGTGAGTTGAAAGTTAAGGAGTGACATTATATCCAAAAACGACATCCAAAAACTCTTTGTTAAAAATAAAATCCCAAACTCTTATCTAGCCTAGTTGAAATCACTTTAACTAAATTATTCCTAATCACTTTAACTCAGGTAAAAGTCAAAGTGTGTCCATTGGAAGTCTGTTAACATGAGCTTGGCCGTATATACCTGAAATACAATGATTTTCCTCCTCCTAGAACTGGAATGCTACTCACATGTTCCGGGTGGCTGAGGAGTTCTTCACCTCCCTGGGCCTCATCAAAATGCCCCAAGAGTTCTGGGACAAGTCTATGTTGGAGAAGCCAGAAGGTCGGGAGGTGGTGTGTCATGCATCTGCCTGGGACTTCTACAATAGAAAGGACTTCAGGTGAGCAAGTGGAAATGTAGTTATGGAAATGAACTCATGGAGTGGAGAAAAGAGAGGGAGGGGATGAGAAGTTTTCCATTACCCCATGCTATGAAGTTCAAATGTCTTCATATGTGATGTTTCCTCACATTCAGGATCAAACAGTGCACCACAGTCAACATGCAGCAGCTTTTCACAGTGCACCATGAGATGGGCCATATTGAATATTACCTGCAGTACAAGGAACAACCTATAAGCTTCCGCGGCAGTGCTAACCCAGGCTTCCATGAGGCCATTGGTGATGTCATGTCTCTCTCTGTGTCCACACCTAAGCATCTGGCCAGCATCGGGCTATTGTCCAATGCGACCAATGACCACGGTATGCCCCAATATTTATTTGGTACCCTGTTTTGAAGTATATACAATTCATGAAAACAATTAAAAATGTTATGGTCAGTAAGTACAGTGTTTCCAAGTAAATAAGTAAGTATGTAGTAAATAAGTTTGTAAGTAGTAAGGAAGTCAGTAGCTTAAATAAGAAAGTAAGTCATTACGTAAGTTAGTTAGTTACTTACTGTTATTATTATTGTGGTGTTTTTTTTTTTGTGTGATTTTAATTGGCTTGTTCATTGTAGAGAGTGACATCAACTACCTGCTGAAGATGGCTCTGGAGAAGATGGCCTTCCTTCCCTTTGGCTATCTCATTGACCAGTGGAGATGGAGTGTGTTTAGTGGGCGCACCCCCCCAGAGCGCTACAACGCAGACTGGTGGCACCTCAGGTGAGTGCCACGAAAATATTTAACCTCTACGGGATTGGTGTCCCGTATACGGGACGGTTGAGCTAACGTGCGCTAATGTGATTAGCATGACTGTTGTAAGTAACAGCAAACTTTCCAGGACATAGACATGTCTTATATGGGCAGAAAGCTTACAATCTTGTTAATCTAACTGCACTGTCCAATTTACAGTAGCTATTACAGTGAAAAAATACCATGCTATTGTTTGAGGAGAGTGCACAACAACAAAAAACGTATCATGGCAACTGGTTTGATACATTCACCTCTGAAGGTAAATAATGAACTTACATTCAGTAATCTTGCTCTGATTGTTCATCCTGAGGGTCCCAGAGATAAACTGTAGCATAGTTTTGTTTGATGAAATCCATTTCTATATTCAAATGTAGGAACTGGGTTCTACAGTTTGAACCCCTGCGGTCTCTGGCTCCACACCCACCCTGACCGGTCCATCTAGATATGTGAACGTTAGTGTATAAGCTAATGATCCATCATGTATGACATTCCTGGGAGTGTGTAAACGTACATTTTATATTACCATATCATTTTTGTATGTTCTCTATAGTTACGTACTTGAAAATGTGTCAATTGACCAATTCGGCACATTTGGGCAGACTTGATACAAAATAGTCCAGTATTGCAATGCTTCACTGAATCAATCTGAAACTTTGCACACAGACTGCTGCCATCTAGTGGCCAAAATCTAAATTGCGCCTAAACTGCAATATTATATTGTGGCCTTTCTCTTGCATTTCAAAGATGATTAAAAAAATAAAAAATAGTTTGTTTGTGTTATCTTTCACCAGATCGAATGTGTTATATTCTCCTACATTAATTTCACATTTCCACAAACTTCTAAGTGTTTCCTTTCAATATGCATATCCTTGCTTCAGGTCCTGAGCTACAGGCAGTTAGATTTGGGTATGTCATTTTAGGCGAAAATTGAAAAAAAGGGTCCAATCCTTAAGATGTTAACATGATGAAAGTTTGTGGAGGGAAATTGTTTATATCCAAAATAATAGTGCATTTTATATAATGAAAATATGTTTCAGAAAACACTGTCAATTTTCCTTCCCTTGTTCACTTTTCAGGACAAAATACCAGGGTATATGTCCTCCCACCAAACGCACAGAGGAGCACATGGACGCTGGAGCGAAATATCACATTTTAGGAAACACCCCATACATCAGGTAGAATTCTCTTTCAAACCATCTGTCACTTTTCTTCCTCAGATCCATATACAGGAGGATTATTATGGATGATGGATATTGTCATTTCTCAACACACACTTTAAGAATAAAGACCACTGAGGGAATATAAATATTACAAATACACATTAATACAAAATCAATCCTCAAACACCATCAAAATGAATTTGACAATTTGACAACATGTTTGATTAACGGTGTTGTTTTCTCTCCTGGAGATACTTTGTGAGCTTCATTCTGCAGTTCCAGTTCCACAAGAAGCTATGTCAGGCAGCCAATCAAACTGGACCCTTGCACACATGTGACATCTACCAGTCCAAGGAGGCGGGAAAGATTTTAGAGTATGTATACTGTTATTGCCTCTCTTAGAAAATTCATTACAGCCACGTACACTATAGTGTTACCTGATCAAGTGAGGAGATGACATACACAAAAGATGGTCATTCAATCTCTTAATCACTCTAAGAAATAAATTGATACTTTTTCACATCTTAGACTGTAATTTGAACTGTGTGATATTTTCCCCCACCTGAATCAATCATAAAGCATTGTCCCTAGACTTGCTAAAGCTAAACCATACAAAGTTATAGTAAATGAGGCATGACACATTTCCCTAAGTGCCTCTGTTGACTTTTACAGGACTGTCTTTAAATCCGGAGAATCCAAGCCCTGGGAACAGGTGCTCCAGGAAGCCGTCGGGACAAACAAGATGGACGCCAGCGCCCTGATGGAATACTTTGGTCCCATCATCACATGGCTGGAGGAACAGAATGCAGCAATGAATGAGACCTTGGGCTGGCCCGATTTTAACTGGGTTCCACCCATACCAGAGGGTTACCCCGAGGATATTGGTAAGCCAGTAAACAGGTTTAACTGAAGGAGGATGCTATTTCAATAAAACATGGAGAATTTCCTTTTATGGAAATGAGGATGATGTTTCAATAAAATAATGGATGATATTTCAATAAAATAAAACATGGAGAATTTCCTTTAAGGGAAATTATCATTTTTCAATGTGATTTGTATGGTTCTTTTTGAAATCTGTAATGAAATCTGAGTATACTATAATTAGCATTTTAACGTGGTTCTTTTGTATTGAAAGTCTGCCCCCCTACTTTTGGCAGATGGATAAAACAATATTGTCCCACTTCAAACAACAAAATATAAATTCAGTTTAAGATTGCAGGAAATTTTTTGGAAAACCTGTCTTAATCTATGATTTTTGTTCTGTTTGAACATTGATCTTTCGTTATGTTTATTTACATATTTTTTTATTTAGCTATTTATTTATGTATTCATTTTGTTGTTCATTTTTCATTTAAATGTCACTTTCTGACTAATTATGGTGTTACAAAACTCTATCTAAATCTATAGTATGAACGTTTCATTGTTGGTGATGAATGTCTTTGATGATTGATTCCACTTAAATTTGATGAAATTGTAGACAGTGCAATTATTAGTGTGATTGTTGTAATCGTTATTATTAATGATCATGATAATAATTGTAGTTATTATTGGTGATGGGTATTTTTTCCCTTGTTTGGACATTTACATTTAGAACTCTCATTGTTACAATGTGCATTGAAACGTCATGCTGAAAATCAATACAAATAGATTTACTTCTCTCTTAAATTGTGTAAGGATGACATTGAAAGATGAACTTGCATACAAATTCAAGCTATACTCGCTTAAGCTAGAATCGGGCCACGGTCACATAGCCATGTAGCTTGAGATACAAGAGCTATTCTGCCTTACGTGTACCTTTCTCTCTATACCCAGACATGATTGCAGATGAGGTGCTGGCGAAGAATTTCCTGGAGGAATACAACAGCACTGCGGAGGTGGTCTGGAATGCCTACACTGAGGCATCGTGGGTATACAACACTGACATTAATGAGAAGAACAAGCAGAACATGGTAAGAGTTGTCTGGTGTCTGAATGGAGAATCTCTCGCACTCATACTGTACACATAGGCATTCACACAACAAAAAAATCCAGAAAAACACATGTCAAAAATGTTAAAAATTGATTTGTATTTTAATGAGGGAAATAAGTATTTGACCCCTCTGCAAAACATGACTTAGTACTTGGTGGCAAAACCCTTGCTGGCAATCACAGAGGTCAGATATTTCTTTTAGTTGGCCACCAGGTTTGCACACATCTCAGGAGGGATTTTGTTCCACTCCTCTTTGCATATCTTCTCCAAGTCATTAAGGTTTCGAGGCTGACTTTTGGCAACTCGAACCTTTAGCTCCCTCCACTGATTTTTTTTTTTATGGGACTAAGGTCTGGAGACTGGCTAGGCCACTCCAAGACCTTAATGTGCTTCTTCTTGAGCCGCCACTTTGTTGCCTTGGCCGTGTGTTTTGAGTCCTTGTCATGCTGGAATACCCATCCACAACCCATTTTCAATGCCCTGGCTGAGGGAAGGAGGTTCTCACCCAAGATTTGACGGTATATGGCCCCGTCCATCGTCCCTTTGAAGCTGTGAAGTTGTCCTGTCCCCTTAGCAGAAAAACACCCCCAAAGCATAATGTTTCCACCTCCATGTTTGACGGTGGGGATGGTGTTCTTGGGGTCATAGGCAGCATTCCTCCTCCTCCAAACACGGCGAATTGAGTTGATGCCAAAGAGCTCAATTTTGGTCTCATCTGACCACAACACTTTCACCCAGTTCTCCTCTGAATCATTCAGATGTTCATTAGTAAACTTCAGACGGCCCTGTATATGGGCTTTCTTGAGCAAGGGGACCTTGCGGGCGCTGCAGGATTTCAGTCCTTCACGGCGTAGTGTGTTACCAATTGTTTTCTTGGTGACTATGGTCCCAGCTGCCTTGAGATCATTGACAAGATCCTCCCGTGTAGTTCTGGGCTGATTCCTCACCGTTCTCATGATCATTGCAACTCCACGAGGTGAGATCTTGCATGGAGCCCCAGGCTGAGGGAGATTGACAGTTATTTTGTGTTTCTTCCATTTGCAAATAATCGCACCAACTGTTGTCACCTTCTCACCAAGCTGCTTGGCGATGGTCTTGTAGCCCATTCCAGCCTTGTGTAGGTCTACAATCTTGTCCCTGACATCCTTGGAGAGCTCTTTGGTCTTGGCCATGGTGGAGAGTTTGGAATCTGATTGATTGCTTCTGTGGACAGGTGTCTTTTATACAGGTAACTAGCTGAGATTAGGCGCACTCTCAGCTCGTTACCTGTATAAAAGACACCTGGGAGCCAGGAATCTTTCTGATTGAGAGGGGGTCAAATACTTATTTCCCTCATTAAATTGTTTTTTTAAAACTTTATTGAGTAAATATTTTCTTAACTCTATTTCTTGAACTGCATTGTTGGTTAAGGGCTTGTAAGTAAGCATTTCACGGTAAGGTCTACACCTGTTGAATTCGCCGCATAAAAATAACATTTGATTTGAATTTGATTTGAAACAGGGTTCAGGGGAGCTACAGAATGAGCAGGCTTTTGTTCCAGCCCAGCAGTAACGCGCTTGATTCTATGGCACATCCTGTATCTTTTCTGGCACATTTCTTGCACTTGGACAAATCAATGGCTAGTTGTGTTGTTTATTCTGTCTCCAGCTGCAGAAGATGTTGGACATGTCTAACCACACACTGACCTACGGAAACGAGGCCCGCAAGTATGACACCACAGACTTCCAGGACGGTGCCGTGAAGCGTATCCTGAATAAACTCTGTGACATCGAAAGTGCAGGACTTCCCGATGAGGAACTGAAAGAGGTAAGAATTAGCGGAGTGCTTTTATTGATCAGAGACCTTCAAATGATCCCCTATTCACACACTAAATCCAGAGCAAAATCACACAGTACATTGACCTCAATGTTTAATGAAATTATTCTAAAGCAATTTAATAAGTAGGCCTATAAAAAAACTTGAAATCGCATTGGGCAGTTACAAGTTCTTATGCTGTTGGTCATTGTTTTTCTCTCAGTACAACAATTTGCTGGCCAACATGGAGACCAACTACAGTGTGGCTGAGGTGTGCAGAGCCAATGGGACCTGCCATCCACTGGAGCCAGGTAAGATCCCACAATACATTTGCCCAATCCCATGCCTGGTTCAGGGCCTTAAAACACTTGCCTAATTGAGTCCATGTGATATTTTTTTTGACACACAATATATAAAAACTATCATCTGGAGAAAAATTGAAGGAGAGGTTATTTTCCTGACACCACTCCGCCAGGGACCTCAGCTCCTCCCTGTAGGCTGTCCCGTCATTGTTGGTAATCAGGCCTTCTACTGTTGTGTCGTCTGCAAACTTGATGATTGAGTTGGTCTGCTTTGCCACACAGACATGGGTGAACAGGGAGTACAGTCTTATAACTCATGTGGTCAAGATGCACAAACCTTTTTTAAATAGTTGGTCTGGGTCTTGTTCTTTTACATTTCTTGGTCTCGTCATGTCTGGATACACTGGTTCTGGGTCTCAAGATGTTGGGTTTTGGTCTGGGTCTGGTCTTGGTTTGGGTCTCGAGTTCTGGGCCTGGTTTCCCGATAGCGATGGAACTTAGGCTTATGAGTGTTTTTAACGATGCATCGTTCCTACAACAGCCAAAGATGTAACATGCGTTTCCCTAAACACCATGCAGAAAGAATGTTTGCCAAGTGCGTCGTTGGGGCGATATTGAAAGGATCGAAAGAAAGGCATAGCTGTTCTCGGATCAGCTTTCTCCATTCACATCTTACCGTAACATTAGAGTAATTCCACAATACTGAGTACGAATAAGCACCAAGAGATATATTATCACCTATATGGCTGCAAATAATTTATTCTAGCCTAATGCTTAGCCTACCCTATAATAACGCACTAAATCATAGATTTGGCACATCATTGCACACATGTTACACCATGAAATATATTGAGGCAAAAAATTTGACAGTCGCCTACAATTAGCAAAATAGAACCTCATTGAATTAACATGAAATTGATTTCAATATGATTGTAATACACTGAGCATACCAAACATTAGGAACGCCTTCCTAATATTGAGTTGCAGCCCCCCCCTTTGCCCTCAGAACAGCCTCAATTCGTCGGGGCATGGACTCTACAAGGTGTTAAGCATTCCACAGGGATGCTGGCCCATGTTGACTCCAATGCTTCCAATAGTTGTGTCAAGTTGGCTGGATGTCCTTTGGGTGGTGGACCATTCTTGATGCACATGGGAAACTGTTGAGCGTGAAAAACCCAGCAGCGTTTCAGTTCTTGACACAAACCGGTGCGCCTGGCACCTACTACCATACCCTGTTCAAAGTCACTTAAATATTTTGCCTTGCCCATTCAACCTGTGAATGGCACACATACACAATCCATGTCTCAAGGCTAAAAAATCCTCTTTAACCTCTTAAGGATCGGACGCTTTTTTTCAATTTTCGCCTAAAATGACTTACCCAAATCTAACTGCCTGTAGCTCAGGACCTGAAGCAAGGATATGCATATTCTTGATACCATTTGAAAGGAAACACTTTGAAGTTTGTGGAAATACGAAATTAATGTAGGCAAATATAACACATTAGATCTGGTAAAAGATAATACAAACAAAACAACATGCCTTTTCTATTATTTTTTTGTTCAATCATCTTTGAAATGCAAGAGAAAGGCCACAATATAATATTGCAGTTTAGGCGCAATTTACATTTTGGCCACTAGATGGCAGCAGTCTGTGCAAAGTTTCAGATTGATCCAGTGAAGCATTACAATACTGGACTATTTTGTATCAAGTCTGCCCAAATGTGCCCAATTGGTCAATTGATACATTTTCAAGTACATAACTATAGAAAACATACAAAAATGATATGGTAATACAAATTGTAAGTTTACACACTCCCAGGAATGTCATACATGATGGATCATTAGCTTATACACTAACGTTCACATATCTAGATGGCCGGTCAGGGTGGGTGTGGAGCCAGAGACAACAGGGGTTCAAACTGTAGAACCCAGTTCCTACATTTGAATATAAAAATGTATTTTATCAAACAAAACTATGCTACATTTTATCTCTGGGACCCTTAGGATGACAAATCAGAGCAAGATTACCGTATACAGGACACCGATCCCGTAGAGGTTAACCTGTCTCCTCCCCTTCATCTACACTGATTTGAAGTGGATTTAACAAGTGACATCAATAAGGGATCATAGCATTCACCTGATCAGTCTGTCATGGAAAGAGCAGGTGTTCTTAATGTTTTGTAGACTCAGTGTATATAGGCCTATGTATCTTTTAATGCAGTCATCTCGGTTTTCATTTGAAGCATAATTGTATCCTTCACTTGTTTGTAACAATTGCAAAGACGTTGGCAACTTTGTATTTGTAGTCAACTTCGTTCTGAAGTTATCGGTGGTCACAGAGAGACAGAAAAACAACCTGATTTTATGTTTATTGGAGATCTCCTGTGTATAAAATGACGTAGAAGGGCAACAAAGTATCTAATGACGCAATTAGCTGTTCTACATGTGGTCTGAGGCAGTCAGTAGATAACGAGCATTTTCAAGTGCAACTGTAATAACGATGGTTTTGTGAAACAGCTCTGAGATTTAATGATGCTCCTATGAAGGTACTTACGATAAGCATAGTCTTAAGATGCTTTTGGGAAACCGGGCCCTGGTCTTGACTCCATCTCTGGTTTGCCTCTTGTTTCAGACCTCCAGAAGATCATGGCTGAGTCCAGAGACTACAATGAGCTGTTGTTTGTCTGGCAGGGCTGGAGAAACGCCTCTGGCAGAGAACTGCGACAGGACTTCAAGAGATATGTTCAACTGGCCAACAAAGCTGCCACTCTTAACGGTAAGGTCTTCAAAATAACAGACCCATTCCTAAAGACATTTCAACAGAGGCTGGCAGTTACGAAGTTTTCTAATTGGTGCAGGCAGGTTTCAAGTGCTAACACAAATAAAAGAGGTGATGGGGGAAGCCTTGTCGGTTTCTGCAAATGACTTATGTGCAATTCTGGCACTGAATTCACCCTCCCCCTAATGCTGTCTGTTCATAGGACACTCTGACAATGGGGCATTCTGGCGCTCCCTGTACGAGACCTCCACCTTCGAAGAGGATCTGGAGCATCTGTGGAAGGAGCTGGAGCCCCTCTATCTCAATGTGCACGCCTACGTGCGCAGGTGTCTCTACAGGAAGTATGGAGGCAAACACATCAACCTGAAGGGACCCATCCCTGCCCATCTTCTAGGTGAGACTCCATCAGAATCCACCATGGATTTCAGCAACAAAGGCCAAAACTCCTTTTACATTATGTATGACCATTGCACATTGATGTTCTGCTGTTTTGTGGATGTTTCTGGGGGAATCAGCTGGATTTCATTTGCTTTCAGAAGCATTGCGCTTGACATTGTGTGTGACAGTGACAGGCTAGGGATTGAGCTGGCTCTGAATCTAAATCCACTGGTTTGAGCTCTGTCAGTGGTGCAAGGCTGGAATATACAGTAGCTTATCCGTTTAACATTTTGTTTAGTTATGGATAAAACAGCACAGTCATGTTTCTCTTGTCCTATCAGGTAACATGTGGGCGCAGACCTGGTCTGGCATCATGGACTTGGCCATTCCGTACCCCGATGCCACTCAAGTAGACGCCACACCAGCCATGATAGCCAAAGTAAGAAAAACTTCACCACTGCAGGTTTTTCTGTTTAAGGGCTGGATATTATTACGTTTCCATGTGACCTGACCAGGAAAAACCTTTTGGGGGTTTTCCCCACAGGGCTGGAATGCCACCAGGATGTTCCAAGAGTCAGACAACTTCTTCACTTCTCTGGGGCTACTGCCCATGCCTCCAGAGTTCTGGGCCAAGTCCATGCTGGAGAAACCCAATGATGGACGCAACGTGGTGTGCCATGCCTCCGCCTGGGACTTCAACAACCGCAAAGACTTCAGGTACTTTGGAGGGATGTAGAGCCTGTAGCTTCCTTAGTACATTACAACGCCAGAAACTTTATCAATAATTTTGGAACTCTTGGTCTAATGACTTTTCTATTGGAACTGACATGTACAGGGTTGCAGGTTCTAGTCCCGCTCAAGCTACCCCCACCGTAGTCTTTGTATTTCACCTTTCAAGATGAGTTTGTGTTCACCATGAAAAACAAAGATGACTGCCCATTAAAATGATGAATTCTTATCCTTCATTTCCAGGATCAAACAGTGCACCGTGATAACCATGGATGACCTCATCACTGTGCACCATGAGATGGGTCATGTGCAGTACTTCCTGCAGTACAAGGACCAACCTCTTTCCTTCCGCGATGGCGCCAACGCAGGCTTCCACGAGGCCATTGGTGATGTGCTGGCCCTGTCCGTCGCCACTCCCAAGCATCTAAAGGAGATCGGTTTACTGGATGTGGTGGAGGACAACCAAGGTGAGCTCATACTAATTCATTGTTTTGACACTGCCCTGCTTTTTTCACTTTCATAAATATGAGGATTTTTTTTTTTATAACACAATTTTCAATTCACTACTAAGATGGGGTGGCAGGTAGCTTAGTGGTTAAGAGCGTTGTGCCAAAACCGAAAGCTCGCTGGTTCTAATCCCCGAGCCGACTAGGTGAAAAATCTGTCGGTGCCCTTGAGCAAGGCACTTAACCCTAATTGCTCCTGGAAGTCTCTCTAGATAAGAGCGTCTGCTAAATGACTAAAATGTAAATGTAAGACCTTCTGCCAACCAGAAAAAAGGGATATGTGGTGACCGCTGCAGACAAAGCATTAACAAAATATATATTTTTAAAGCAATCTGTGTGGTAAACATAAATTAACTATCAATATGCTGTGATTGCACTGTGAATGTGCTATACCACTTTAAACGTGAATGTATCTGTTCATTTTCACAGAGAGTACAATCAATTACCTCATGAGCATCGCCCTGGACAAAATCGCTTTCCTGCCCTTTGGCTACTTGATGGACCAGTGGAGGTGGAAAGTGTTTGATGGACGCATCTCTCAGGAGGAGTACAACAAGGAATGGTGGAACATGAGGTAAAGACTGCTACTAAAAATATATATATTATAATAATAAAAAATGGAAAGGAATAATACAAATAGACTACTACTTTTAGTGAATATCTCCATTCTCCATCCTCCCTATCTCATCTATGTAAAAGTAATAAAAACTGAATCATTTCTTTGTACTGTCTGTCCCTTCCAGAATGAAGTACCAGGGCTTGTGTCCACCTGTTGCCCGCACTGAGCAGGACTTTGACCCAGGTGCAAAGTTCCACATCCCTGCTAATGTTCCCTATGTCAGGTGTGGTGTCTGACACATTTATTACTCTTTAACTAGCATAGATCTCTTAGCGAGGTAGGTCGAGGAAAATTTGATGAAATCAGTGGTACAATGTACATGCAGAAAAACAACAGTGAACCAAACATTCAACTGTAAAGCCACCTAACTTTCATTTGATCACTTTTCTTTCTTGTTCATAAAACACAAGTAGGCCTACATTGCGTTTACTGATATTCTTGCTGTGTCTACCAATATAGCTGACATTCATTAAACAGATCTGTTTTGTATGTGGGATGCAGTGGGAACGTCATGTGACTGAGTGTCTTCCTATCAGGTACTTTGTGAGCTTCATCATCCAGTTCCAGTTCCATCAGGCTCTGTGTAACGCTGCCGGGCATGTAGGCCCTCTCCACGAATGTGATATCTACCGCTCCAAAGAGGCAGGGAAACTTCTAGGGTCAGTACTGTACACCCTCAAACAAGTAGCATTCTATTACCAGGACAGCACTGTCAATCTTTTAATGTGATAGATGATGTCGTTTGTTTGTAAATTTGTTTGAAGTTATCGTTCAGATATGTGGAATGTTGTGTAGTATATAAATTGTTGCATCCGAAACATATTTGTTAGACTGTAGAAACATAGGCAGTCTTTCTGATATACTTTTGGAATGACTGTTTCATCCATTTCCTGTGTTTTGCAGTGACGTGATGAAGCTGGGTTTTAGTAAGCCCTGGCCTGAAGCGATGGCATTGATCACTGGAGAGCCTACCATGTCCGCCAAGCCACTGGTACAGTACTTCAAACCTCTCACTGATTGGCTGGAGGCAGAGAACAACAAAAATGGCGAGGTCAGAGGCTGGCCTGAATATGACTGGAAACCACCAAGTAAGTTTGATAGCCAGGCCCAGTGTTGGCGGGCTTAGGGGGCTGTGCCCACCCTACCGCACTACTTTGCCGATCTAAATAAAATGGTTGAATAAAATTTGGCATGACTGATTTTTGGTTGTTGTTGCTATAACAGTTAGGGTGGGTTGCACCAACATGGATTAACACTTAAACTGGGTTAAATCAAGGTTTATCTATTAATCTTGTTGCACCAAATTTTAAAACTAGGTTTTAAATTAATCCTAGTTAAATAAAATCCTTCCTCTAATCTAAATTTAGTTTTCACTTTAAACCTGGATTAATTTTAAGCCTGTTGCTCAATAATACAAAAAAAGGAATACAAATTTAGATTGGAGATTAATTCTAAACTGCCACTTGAGGTGGTTTAACTGATAAAATGGCAGCATATCTACTGTGGAGAGACCAAAATGACAGAGTTCCTCAGAGAATAATTAGAGACAGGTTAAATCCTGTTGAATTGTATGATAATGATGAGTTTAAGGCGATACCGCTTCTTCAAGGACTCTGTAATGCAACTGGAAAGAAAGGTTGGACCAACCATTAAGTATCGGAGTGATAGGAACGCAGCTGTACCCCCATTAATTCAGCTCTTGGTGACCCTGCGGTTCTACGCAACTAGATGTTTCCAGATGGTGGATGGGGACCTTTTTGGACTCCACAAGTCAACCATCTGCAGGATTGTAGTCAGTGTCCAGTGCTATTGCCAGTCTGAAGAATCAGTACATAAGGTTCAAGCCTACAGAGGAAACAGCAGCTGCATTTTACAGGAGAGCTAGATTCCCATGTGTCCTAGGGGCAATAGACTGTACACACATTCCTATTCCCAACCCTGGTGGTGAGAATGGAGAACTATTCCGTAATCTGAAAGGTTACTGCTCCATCTACGTGCAGGCTGTCTGTGACGACAGAAATAGAAATGCTGTGAGGAGAACCTTGATTGAGAACCATTTTGCAGCCACCCTCCGGTCTGAAATAGCCCCCGCCTCTCCTCTGCCGCATTCATTTTGGCTTTCGCTTCTAAATTTTTCCAGCACGCCTTCATCCGATTTGGGTCCCTCTTCTCTTTAATCCTAGTCGATCCATTAAATCTGTCGCATAAAATGGCCCAGGTGTCTTCCTTTTTGACAGTGGTCTGTCTTTTTATCCTCCAGTATGTTACTAAATTCAGCTCCGACAAGGTTTTTTTCATAAGCGGAGAAATGTGAACTTCTTTGACGTGCCATGATCAGGTGGCTAGCGGACAAATAATAAATGGCTAAATAACGTTAAGTAATGACAATAATACATTATATTTTATGCTAGCTAGCTAGCTTGGTTTATAAACTAGCTAACTACGGTAGCTAACATTAGCTAACGAATGAGTTTTCTGTCTAGTAAATTATTGTATTGTTGAATTAAATACGGCTCGTAAATATGACTGACGGGTTTTAGACCTATCAAGAATGCATCATGAAGTGCACGTCTCTTTTTACCCACCCTCAGTGGGGCTAACATATGGAATTGTTTTAAGATGGTCATACCATGGATCATTTGGTATGATTTTGAATTTTAGGACCCCTTTAAGTATCCCCCCCAAAATATAGAATTTGGCCTTTACTACTATAGACCTTAGAAACGCATTGAATAACACATTCATAAATGGCAAAAAAGACAATCAAAAAACAAATCATAAGGTTTTGAAGTGTCTGTCCTATATCTAAGAGACATAAGAAAGCTCAGGAAATAATTTAGATATTCTGGACACATATTTTAACCCCTTATGTTTGGCACAACTACCTCCATACTTCCATTCATTTGTATGGGTTACCTTCAGATGAGTCCCATGACGTGTTTGCGAGTCATCTTTCCATAGAGTTGTCATATTAGTTTGTAGGCCAAACGCTACAGACGTTTTTGTGAGAAGAACGATTTTCGGGATGTCTCCTGGTCTGACAAACACTGCTGTAGCTCGGCCACCTTCCACCACAGATGTTGAAGGCCGACATAGGCGGATGCGCCATGTAAAAAAACATCTCTCCATCTTAAACTGATGGATTTTGATAGGGATTGTTTTATTATGTTTATTATGCACAGACGGGTGCATCAATAGACTCTTAAGGATGAAATAGTGTTGATAGGCACGTTAAGGAGTGCACACAGACATTCCCCTATATATCGTGCGCACACCGTGGGTGTTGAAGTTCAGTCACCTGCCGACATGGCAGTCATGTTTGCTTCCTATCTAGTAAATGGCCTAAACTTACCCTGCTGCCGCCTCGTTATTGGATTGTACTTTCATCACGTCACGTACATAATACTGGCGACAGTGGATTCGGACTAGAGAGTAAAACGCCAAAGTGGATTTTCCTCTGCCGGCGTGATCATGGTTTTGTTTGGGACGATTGAGGAGTTTGTTGATGAAAAGGATAACTCCTGTTGAAAGGCTGGAATATTTTTTTGTGGCTAATGAAATTGATAATGCCAAAAAGAAATGAGCTGTGCTGCTGAGTGCGGATCTGCCTACTGCAAAGAGTTATGATGATGCCTGCCTGTATGACAGAGCTGGCCATACCCCGTGCACATCAAGAGGTTAAAATAATAACTGGACGGATGGAGATTGTCAGAATTCAATAAATATTTATTCGCCTATAAAACTGATGGTTTTAAAGGGGGTAAAACACAGGTCATGCTAAACGGTTATTAAAATAACAAAAACCTTTCCTGCGGAGTATATAGCATGTCTACCTCTTCCAACCATTTATTTTCCCACTGTTCAAACATACCACCTTTCAAGACACAAACCAATTAAGATCAGGTGTGGCCAACACACTCAAAAAGACAAACTACTGACTGTTGAAGATGACGTTTATGGTAAATGTATACATCACAGGAGGCTGCTGAGGACAGCTCATAATAGCTGGAATGGAGTAAATGGATGTAAATGTGTGTTTAATGATTAAGGTGCCACCAACCTCCTGTGGTATATATATATATATATATATATATATATATATGGAATGGTTTGAATAATGAAACTGTTTTGGACCCAATTAACATACAAGTAACAATCTCACATTTTAAAAAGGTATAAGCGAAGATGCATTGAATGCAATAAAATGCCATCTTCACAGCCTGCTTCACCCTGAAAGACCCAGTCCCCCAACTGTGTCTGGAGCATGTAATGGAGGTTGACTCAGGCTCTGGACGTTCACTGATTAGTGAGGAAACTTACCATGCATTGTGGCCTGATGAGCCACTGGAGCTCTTGCAATACAGTGGAGTGTTAAGGCAATGATCACAGGCCCAGTTAGAGGTGCGGGGAAGGATTCTTGTGGACGTGAGCTATCGAGGCGACCACAGAAGGCTACCCCTGTTCGTCATCCAGGGCTCAGGAGCCAGTTTACCGGGCCCTGACTGGTTTGAGCCTTTGGCCATTGAGGTCACAGGGGTTTATCACATGCAAAACTCACTGGATTTGATTATAAAGGAGGATGAAGAAGCTTTCCAGGGGCATGGGATTTGCAGGGGGCCCCCTGTGTCCATAGCCACCCTAAGGTGCCATCTAAGTTCTTTAAAGCTCGCCCAGTACCCTTCACTCTCCGGCCGAAGATCGATGAGGCTCTGGATAAACTGGTGGCTCAGGGGGTTTACAAGCCAGTGGAGTACTCTAAGGCTGCGTTTAGACAGGCAGCCCAATTCTGATCCTTTTTTCACTAATTGGTCTTTGGACCAATTAGATCAGCTCTGAAAAATATCTGATGTTTAAAGATCTGATGTGATTGGTCAAAAGACCAATTAGTGGAAAAGAATCTACATTAGGCTGCCTGTGTGAACACAGCCTTTGTGGGTTACACCAATTGTGCCTGTGACCAAGAAGGATGGTAGCCTAAGGATATGTGCGGACTGTCGCTGCACAGTGAATACCGCAGTAGTCTTAACTCTCGGCTGAAGCACAGCTCAATAAAGTGGCCCTGGCAATCATTTTTGCTGTCAAGAAGTTCCATCAGTATTTGGCAGGTTGCCATTTTGTGGTCTATACTGACCATAAGCCCTGGTTGGGCCTGATTCATCATACTGTATGAAGCCCATGCCCCAGATTCTTTCCCCTTGAATGGTCAGATAGAGCCTGATACTGGGAGCCCATAGATATGAGCTCTGCTATCATCCAGGCAAGCAGCTGGCTAATGAGGATACCCTGAGTCGCCTTCCACTCGCTACCCACTTGTCTGAGCCACAACCTCCCTGGGAAGTGATGCTGTTGGAGGGGATGCCTGATGCCCCTCTCCATGCTTCTAGGATAGTCGCACTGACCTTGAAGGATCCTGTCCTGTCCCGGGTGCTTCGCTGGATTCCTCATGGATGGGCCTCTGAGTTTCCTGGCAGTCAGTTTGGGCCCTACTCGAACAAGCTATCTGTTGACAAGAAATGTGTGTTTTGGGGCAGTCGAGTGGTGGTGCCTGGCCTGGAGAGGGAAGGGGTCCTTTCCATGCTGCATGATTTGCATCCTGGAATAGTGAGGATGAAGGCACTGGCCTGGAGCTATGTGTGGTGGCCTGGGATGTCCATGGAAACTGACGCCATGGTGCGCAGCTGTGCCACTTGTCAGGAGTAACGCTATGTTCCGCCCAAGGCCGCCTTACACCCATGGGAGTGTACAACAAAGAAATGGTCTCGTCTTCATATAGACTTTGCTGGGCCGTTCCAAGGAAATACTTTCCTTATTATAGTGGATTACCACTTGAAGTGACTGGAAGTAGCCATAGTTAGCTCGATGTCCTCTACTGCTGTGATAAGCACCGTCCCCGTCTGCTGTTTGCCACTCATGGTTTGCCTGACATCCTTGTGTCAGACAATGGAGATGCATTCACTTCTGCTGAGTGTAGCCCTTTCCTACAGTCAAATGACCTAGCAGCCTCAATGGTGGAATGTTATTAATATTTTTCATATAATTAATAAACATAAATAAAAAATGAAAATCTGGTGTTCTTATGTCAAACGGATTTGTTATATTTCCGTCTTCTGTGATGTACAGTACCAGTCAAAAGTTTGGACACAATTACTGATTTCAAGGGTTTTTCTTTCGTTTTTGCTATTTTCTACATTGTAGAATAACAGTGAAGACATCAAAACCATGAAATAACACATATGGAATCATTTTAGTAACC